CCGCATGCGCCGCTGTTGACATTGAGCTTTCGTAGTAAACGCCCTCTATGCAGGTCTGGAGGGGTTCGTTCGCCCCATCGAGGGCGGACCGCGGCAAGCTGGACAAAGCTTTAGCTGGACGTCGCAAGGTGGCCGTGCTTGGCGGCGCCGCCTCGCGGGGCAGAGATCACCCAAAACAGATGGCGACTGCGGAGCTGCTCCGTCGCTGGCGGGCCCGGAGAGAGCTGGTTTGAGTTGAGATCGAGACGTCTACAAATGTTTAGGGGTTGGACCTTTGAGCCCCAACGACATTTGAAGTTTTTGCGCGTGCTATTCGGTGACATTCCAGCGTGTTCTATGCGCCCGCAGGTCCAGGATGGTCGCCCGACGGAACATGCCTCCCCCTTTGTGGCAGACTGTTCGCGATCTTGAGTTTGCCGCCGATCGACTAGCATAGCGTCCTGGATGCCTTTGCGCCTAACTGAAACTCGTTTCAAGGTAGCGAGGCGCGCGAGGATTTCTGCCGCGTCGACTTCCACGACTCGCCAGCAACAACGCACGGTTTGCATCGCTCCTCCTGGCCTGGGCCCTCCCCTCTCTTTCCCGTCTCCCTTGGGTGCGTATGTTGCTGCGGATGCGGTCTCTCCTCCCCCCCCCTCCTCCCCGGGCCGAGGGGGTGGGTGAGTTTGGATGTTGGGCCCTGGTTGAGGGCCCCCTCGTGCGCGTAGTTTCCCGACTACAAAGGGGCTCCTCAATCGTCTCAGGTTTGCCCATCACGTCAGAAACCTTGCATCGGTTTTAACGCGCGCAAGCGCGCCGTTGCCGCGAGCCAGTTTTTCCCGCCGGGCCGCTGCCCATCGACACCTGCAGGGCGCGTCGAAACGATTGCGCCGTTTCACGCGAAGGACCCATCTGCTCTGGCCCCTGAGATGCACCTCGGGAGCCTAGACTGTCCGCGCTGCGAGTTCTCGGCGCAAGCCTTCGATGAATTGCGCGCCCATTTGAAGCAGCGCTTCGGAGCGCCAGCTCCTAGCACCGGGCGGCCGTCACGCCAGGGGCAGGGGAGCTGGCGTTCCCCGCGCGGTTCAGCCAGCCGCAGAGCCAGCCATCCAGCCAGAAGGAGGGCACCGCCAAGGACGCCGCGGAAGGAGGGGGGCGGGCGAAGAGAGGCCGCGCGGGGCACGAAGAGATCGCGGAGGCGCGCGCCAGCTCTGGCTGATCGCCAGCAGGGGCGTGGCCGAGCTCAGCGCGCGCGTTTCCCATAAGTGGTTCATTCCCGCAGAAAAGGGCCGCGCCCGGGCCAGGGCGCGGGCGCGGCAGGTGCACGACGAGCGCAGCAAGGGGATGAAGCAGGAGGCGCAGGCAGGAGGCGTGCCAGACTTCCGCGGCCGCGGAACGCCACGTCTACGCGCGTTCACGGCCCTCCCATCTATCGCGCAGCGCTGGGCCAGCACGACGGTAAGGACCTGGCGGAGGTGGTGGCGGAGCTGCTCGACCGTCTCAACAACCACATCAGCAAGACGTCTCTGCAGCACCTCGGCCGCGTCGCGCAGCGCTGCCGCGCGAGGCTCCAGGAGAACAAGGACGGCGATGCGGCGACGGCGGCGATTTCCTTGATCATCGATCCGATCGGCACAGTCCAGCGGGGGCGAGGCACTACAAGACGCTGCCTACGGTGATCGGGGCGGAGGTGGGCGAGCACGCGGGCGGAGGCCATCCGCGGGGCCCGCTGGAGAGGGAGGTGTCGCGTATGTTGGAGGGCCAGCAGGAGCCAGCAGCAGCAGCAGTGGCGCGATTGGTAGCCGCTCTTTTTTTACGCATGCGCCGAGTGAGCTTGTCATGAGTGAGAGGCGGGTTTCACTCATCAGGCGTGGTTTTTTTAACCAGTGAGTTTGTGCGCAGAACGAGCGGCACTTCTGTAGTTCAGGGATGTGAATCCGCCGAGCTGCCATCCATGCCAGTTCTGTCGCCGCCAGGGCAGCCAGCATCGAGAGGACAAGGGTCGGGGCGGGAGGCGGGGGAGTGGGCCGGGTCGGGGAAGGAAAGGGAAAGGCAGGTCTGGCGCCTGATGAGCTGGGGCCCCTATCTGGGGCTGCGCGCCTCGGGGGGCCCCCCGAGTCAGCAGGGCCAGCGCTGCCTTGCGCAGAGCGTGGCCGCGTCCGCTCTGACATTATATATACAGCCGGTCTTGTAGCAGCCTGCCCAGAGTTCTGCGCCATGCTGCGAGTGGACTACTGAAGGATAAATGGGTGCTTGTCTTGTCTTGTCGTCGCCGTCGTCGTCGTCGTCGTTGTCGCTTGTCGCTCGTCGTACATCGTCGTGCGCGCGGACGCAGCTGGATTTTTTTTGGTTTCATTCCGGGCCGATGGCGGCAATCGTCAGGGAGGGGGTGGAGGTGGCCCGTAAGCACTGCGGTGTGCAAGCGTTGCGGTGTACGTAAGTATTGTGGTGTGGGCAGGCGCTGTGTTGCACATGGTTGCTGCGGTGTACACAACTCCCTGTGGTGTACACCGGTGCTGTGGTGCACGCAAGCACTGTGGTGTACACAAGCGTTGCGTTGCACACGGCTGTTGCGGTGTACGCAGGAGCTGTGGTGTACACAAGCGCTGTGGTGCTTGCGAGCACTGCAGTTTGCACAGGCGCTGTGGGGCACACCTATATGCTGATCGCGTCGTTGTCGTTGTCGTCGCTCGTCGCTCGTCGCTCATCGTCGTCGTGCGCGCGGGCGCGGCTGCGGCGCCGGAGCCGCACGGCGGGGGGGGGGCGTTCTGTCATGACCCCCCCCCGCATGACGCCCGTCATCGCCGATGATAAAGAAACGCGCTCGTGCCCGCTGCCGTGGCCGCCGACGGAGCAAATCCTGTGACATTCGCTCCCGTGCGTGAGAATTTCGTGCGGGCGGCCTCGCCGCCCTCCCGCTGGGGTGCCCAGCGGTGGGCCGCTGCTGCCCACCGGCCCCGTGCGCTGCGCGCCCTCGCGGATACGATCGGGGTGGGCTGGGCGAGGACATGCCCAGCGAACTCGACAGTATTCGAAGAAAACAAGGTGCTATCAACACAAAGTTTCGGCGCTCCGCGCGGATTCTTTGGATCGGCGCCTGGGCCCCCGTGGCGGCGCCTCCGGCGCCGCCCAGGGCGCGGGGTCCAGCGCCGATGCGAGGAATCCGCGCGGAACGACAAAAGTTTATGTTGATGGCGTCTTCTCTTCTTCCAAAGCCTTGTGCCGCGGGAGGGCGAGCGGTTGGCGGAGGGCCTCCGCGATTTCGGATCTATTATAGCCAGGGCCCAGGGCGACGGGGCCCATCCGCGAAGGGGGCCCCAAGCCCAGGAGAGGGGCCAGAGTCGCTGAACCAAGTCTGCCGTAGTTGGCGTTTCTTCGGGAGGTGGCAGTTCCAGTCAGAGGCATGGGGCGGGGCGGCGTCCATCCCACGAGACCGAGTCCCGGCAGCGCCCGATTCGAGAAGCTCAGGCAAGGCATGAGCAGGTTCCAGGAGGCTACGAGGCGCCCCTTCTTCTTCGTGGAGTCCCCCTCGGTCGTCGACATCGCCGTTTTCCCGTGATGCTCCGATTGGAACCATTGAGCTGCATCGCGGGACGAGGAGGAGGAGGAGGAGGAGGAGGAGGAGGAAGAGGAGGAATGGTGGGACCTCAAAGGGAAGATTTGCGGATTGCCGGCGGTGCATGTGCCATCACGCTTTGCCAGCTGCACGTGCGATGGTTGTGCGCATACTATTTTGGAAACCTTGCCGCCTTCTCGTGGAGGTGGTCGGTATTCTGATCTTCTGATTGCACAGCATGCTCTTGATACTTTCTACCTGGGCGTGAGTTATAGGCGCCCTTTATCTTTTTGTCGTGAGTGCCAGACTGCACGCGGCAGTGGGTTAGGGGAACGAAGAATGGCATAAACAAACAAACTCGGAGGTCCGCGCGGATTTCTAAGATCGGCGATGGACCCCCCTCCTTGGCGCGCGGAGCGCGCCAGAGGCGGCGCCGGAGGCGCCGCCAGGAGGCCCCAGCACGGATTCGAGAAATCCGCGCGGACCTCAGAGTTTTTATGTTTATGTCATTTTTCGTTCCCCTATGGGTGTGCGAACATGCGCGCAGTTTCCTGGATAGCTCATCGAGAGAATCGGGCCGGGCGAAGGGGGGGGATTGGGAAAGGGGGGGTTACGAAATTTGCTGCATGCAGCTGGTTTCGGCCCCGCCGAGGGGCCGATTCCTCGATACATAGCCGCCTCCGGGGCCAGGAGGCGCTGGGAAAATCAGCTACGCGAGCTGATTCCCAAACCCCCCCTTTGCTATCCCCCCCTTTCGCCCGACCCGAGAGAAGGGATATCCAGAGAAGGAGCTGGCAGACTGGGCCAGGCCAGGTTATCCTCTCCGCGGCTGCCAGGCAGGCATCCTCGCAGTTCCTTGCTTGAGCTCTCAGAGTGTCTCGCAATCGCTTTCATTGCAAGAAGAAAAATTACGACAAACTTACACTTTTGACGCTCCGCGCTCAATTTCTCGGATCCGCTCTGGGCCCCCCCGGCGGCGCCTCCGGCGCCGCCCTTGGCGCGCTCCTTGCGCCAGAGAGGGGGGTCCAGCGCAGATCCGAGACGTCCACGCGGAGCGTCACAAGTGTATGTGTATGGCGTGGTTTCTTCTTCTTCTATGCGCAGCGTTTGCTCGGCTCGTGCGAAGCCCGTGCCCGAACGCCCACACTTTCACGTAAAGTCCCCAGCTGTCCAGTTTGAGGCTGCACAGGTATGCGGGAGCATGGCTGCATGCGTGCGGTTGTAGATGGTATCTGCTTGTGTTCGTTGCTTCGCTGTTTTCGATCAAGAGCGGTCCGCGGCCGTGCGAGGGAAAAGGGTACTGGTTACGCCCCTCCCCCATCACTTCTTTGCACCTCCCTCTCTTTCGCATCCTCCCCCTCCCATCCCAGCCCCTCCCGCACTCTTTATCCTTGTCCCGCTTCCTCCTTCTCCCACGCTCCCGTCTTCCCCCGCCCCTGCCAGCACCCAGGTGTTCCTCGTTGCCATGTCCTCGCTGTTGGGCAGCGACTCGGACCTCCTGGCTCCCGCTGCGCTTCACGTTGATGTCGCGTGCTGTCCATGAGCGAATGTTTCAGGGGTAAAAGAAACACACAGACACAATGAATCGTCGATCCCCAGAAAATAGGGGAAAATATGGGAAGTGCTGGGGAGAGAAAAACTCTGAAGATATAGGAAATATTCGGAATCATGTTATTTGTGTGTATTTATGTGTGTGTGTCCCTGGGCCCCTTCAGTTTGGGGCGCTCTGCTTGGCACTCTGGATGGCCAGGTCCTCCTCGTGGTTGCTCCCTCGTCTTTCCCCTTGTCGCTACCCCCGCGCCCCCCCCATCCGTGTCTCTCTCCCTCCCTCTCTCTATCTCTTCCTCTCTCTCCCTCCCTCTCTCTCTCTCTGTTTGTGCCGCTGTCTTTCTCTCTCTCTCTCTCTCTCTCCCTCTCCTTTTCTATATATATATATATTATTATGCATGGCTGTCTGTCTGTCTGTCGGTCTGTCTGTGTGTCTGTTTTTTTCTGTCTATAGTTATATATGTTGTTTTTTCCCGGAAAGGGCAAAGGCCCAGGGTTCTCTTTTAGTTGGTTTCCCCCCGGTTTTGACGGCTGTAGGGCCGGCGAATTTCTTTTGCGATAAATAACCAGGTCGCGTAGGGCCGGCGAATTAAACATTGAGGATGTCTCGAGCGAAACGCTAGTTGTTCAGAATGTGTTGAGGATGTCTCGAGCGAAACGCTTGTTTTGTGTGATAGATTGTCTTCTCCTGGGGACCAGAGACCAGAATTCAGAGGATCTCTGAAGTAAAATGCTTGTTTTCACGTGCCCAGGTCTTGAGGATGTCTCGAGCGAGACGCTTGGTTTCACGCCTCCAGGTGGCCCAGACAGATGTCTAGCATGAGGATTTGTTGAGGATGTCTCGAACCAGAGGCTTGTTTTCACGTGTCCAGGTCGCCCAGGCGGATGTCTAGCATGAGCATTTGTTGAGGATGTCTCGAGCGAGACGCTTGTTTGCACGTGTCCAGGTTGCCCAGGCGGATGTCTAGCATGAGGATGTGCTGACAACGTCTTGAGCGAAACGGGTGTTTTCACGTGTCCAGGTCGCCCAGGCACAGCACAGCCCTCGGCACGGTACATCAATATCGATACCCTTAGCATTGCAGCCTGGCATGTTGCCTGGCACGTTCCGCGGAGCGTCCCGTGGCGAGTCCCCCTGGCACGTCCCTCGGCACGTCCATTGGCACGTTCCGTAGCGCGTCCCTTTGGCACATCCCGCGGTGCGTGCCCATGGCACGTCCCCTGGCACGTCGCCTGGCGCGTCCCTTGGGACGTTCCGCGGCGCGTCCTCTTGGCATTTTCCCTCTGTCGATTAGTTCTGGGGCAGCTACCTCTGCTCAGGTAGCTCGAGCTTACGCTCCAGATCAGTTCGGTGAGGACTCGGATGCCAGGGAGGACTCGATCCACAACGCTATATAGAGCACAATCGCGGCATGGCACATCGCAGTTCAGCACGGCGTAGCACAGCACAGCCGTCGGCACGGTACATCAAGATCGATACACTCAACTATGCACCTTGGCACGTTCCTTGGCGCGTTCCGTGGCGAGTCTACCTGGCACGTCGCGCGGCGCGTCCCCTGGCACGTCCCTCGGCACGTCCATTGGCACGTTCCGTAGCGCGTCCCCTTGGCACGTCCCGCGGTGCGTGCCCATGGCACGTCCCCTGGCACGTCGCCCGGCGTGTCCCTTGGGACGTTCCGCGGTGCGTCCTCCTGGCATGCTCCCTCTGTCGATTAGTTCTGGGGCAGCTACCATCTGCTCAGGCAGCTCGAGCTTACGCTCCAGATCAGTTCGGTGAGGACTCGGATGCCAGGGAGGACTCGATCCACAACGCTATACAGAGCACAATCGCGGCATGGCACATCGCAGTTCAGCACGGCGTAGCACAGCATAGCCCTCGGCACAGTACATCATCATCGATACATTCAGCCTTGCATGTGCCCGTCGCCCAATCAGGTGTCTTTGAAATGTTGCAATGCATTACATTTCTATATTCCTTTCCGGGTTCGTGGGTCGATCATGTTATCTCTCTCTCTCTCTCTCCCTCTAGCTGTGTTGTTATATATATATATATCGCTATGTGTCTCTCTCATTCCCTTCCGAATCCTAGATATGTATGTATGTATGTATGTAGGTAGGTAGGTATGTATGTATGTATATATGTATGCATGTATATATATATATATATGTATGTATGTATGTATGTATGTATGTATGTATGTATGTATGTATGTATGTATGTATGTATGTATAGATGTACGTGTATCTATATGTATAGTTTCAGATCCCTCCCTCTTCGTCTATACCTCTCTAACTTTCTAGATCTCGCTCTCTCTCTCTCTCTCGTCCTCGGCGAAAGGCTGGCGGAAGGCGGCGGAAGTTAGACGGGGGCGGCTTCGCCGGCGGAAGGCTGGTGGGAGGTCGGCGGAAGACCGCGGAATTAAACAAAGTGCCTCCCAAGAGATGGCGCCCTTTTTGGGTTCCGGGTTTCTTGAAATTGCCACATAAACATGTATACGTACTTCCTTGTCGGAGCTAAGAGGTTCCGTGCGCGAGAATTTGTGGCATGGTTTTGGTCAGCAGTGTAAATATTCGTATCGGGGCCAGGGTGCTCCGTTCACGAAATGCGCTTCGAATCGAACGCTTGTTGGCCTTGTGTTGGCGAGCGGCCATCGTTCCGATTCTATGTGTCTTATCCATCGTCTCTACGGCCTGGCCCGTGTCCCACGGGTGGCGTTGTTTCCGCGTTGCACAGAAGTTGTCGCCGCTTGTTGTGGGCTCATGTCCTGGCTCCTCCTTTTCTGTCTCAGAACCCACTCCTGTCCCTGTCTGCTGGTGGTTGCTTCTTCCTGCTCTGGTTGCTTGGCGGTCCGTCTTCACTTCGAATTCCAGGCTATTCCAGCGTAGATCCACCATTGGGCGACAGGAAATCAGCCATCGTCCATTCAACCGTGTGTTGGAATGATCTTCTGCAGTTGGGACGACACTCCAACCCAACAATCTGGGACTTCGAGTCCTGTATTCTATTTGCCATGATTTCAACCTTCACGAACGTATCATCCTCGCACCCGTTGCGCCAGGGGAGCTCGACGCAATCAACGCCCCGGGCATATCCGTCGGGGGCGTTCAGCATGCCGGAATCTTTGAGGAAGAAGGCGCGCGTGGGATGGAAGAGGGGCACAAACAAGTATGTGTTTCTTTGTTTGGATCCACGTTGGAGACGTGTCACTTGGATGTCACGCGCGCGCTGTAAGAGCGCATGGCAGATCCCTGTCAGTCTGTCTCTCGCCAGATGCTCACGTTAGATTTGAGCCACATTGTGTTCTAGCATGCACTACGATGTGAGATGTGTGATACAGTCAACCCGCATGGTAAGGATGAGCGACTTTCCAAGGCTACCCTTGCATCCTTGCCCCTTCGGCCCATCCTTAGCAGCTTTCGCTGGCCAACCTTGTTCGAAAAACATTCACGCGGCCCTCCAATGGCCTTGCATCCTTACCGCGCAACCTTATTATACGGGTTGGCTGTACAGGTTCTTTCTATGCAATGCAATTCATGCAGTGCCAATTAATACGTGGCGATCTCCGCGATACAATCGATGCGGTGCAATCTTACGTCGCACCACGTTGGTTGCACCGTGCCATTGTATGCAATGCTATGTTGTGACTTTCTGTGCTGTGCTACATTAGGCTCTACGCTGAGCCCAGCTGTGCTACGCTGTATGCCGTGTCAAGCTGTGCCGTGCTGTGCTGTGCTGTGCCATGCTGTGCGAGCGGGCGACACAAACAGAGAGAGAGAGAGAGCCAACAACGAAACACACACACAAAAAAAAAAGCACGAAGCGTCCTGTTCTCTCCCAGGTGCTTCTTCTTCTCTGTGCGGGTGGCGGCGACGGACGGCTGCGACGGGCGGCGGCGAGCCGCCCGCACCTCACCACCCACCAAACCACCCCAACCCAACCCGAAGGCTCAGATTTACCCTCGATTTCCAGTGGGGGGGGTGTCGGGAAACATCGAGCAAAAACATGTGGAACCCTTACCCCCCCAACCCGAAATTCGGGTCTTCGGGTTGGGTTGGGGTGGTCTGGTAGGTACCCCGCACCGGGCCACCGGGGCCCGGTGCACCGAAGGGGCGGCGACCGGGCGGAGCGGCGACGGGCGGCCACCGGGCGGCGCCCGGGCGGCGACGGGCCGGGCGACGGGCGGCACCGGGGGCCCGGTGGCCTGTAGAAGAGCGAGCGCTTCGGGAGGGAAGGAAGCAGAAGTTCACCGCCCACCAAACCACCCCAACCCAACCCGAAGGCCCCGATTTGCCCTCCATTTCCAGTTGGGGGGGGTCGGGGAACGTTGAGAAAACACACGTGAAGCCCGTACCCCCCCAACCCGAAATTCGGGTCTTCGGGTTGGGTTGGGGTGGTTTGGTAAACGACGCGAAGATCGGGACAAAATCGGATCGGGATAATTCGAAATCTCTGAGGATCGGCGGGTTTGGAGGATGTATTGGGCGCCGCGGCCGCTCCAGAGCGTTCCGGAACGCTCTGAGAGCGCTCCGGAACGCTCTGGAGCGATTTATCCCGATCGGTCTTAGCCCTGTTTTACAGAAAATACGGGAAAGCATGGGGGAGTCCTGTTATTTCATCGCTTCGCTCATGCCGCCGGCCCTGGAGCGCTGGTTGGGGCCTCTTGGGGCCGTCTTGGGGGCTTCTTGGGGGCTTCTTGGGAGCGTCTTGGGGCTCCTTGGCGGCGTATTGGGCTCCCCTGGGGCCTCTTGGGGGGCTCTTGGGGGCCCCTTGGGGCGGGAGGGGGGTAGTCGTTGGCAGCCCCCCCCTCGGAGGCCACGATCCTCGTGAGGGGTGGCGAAAAATAGCCTCCCCCCTGGGGATCGCCCAGGGATCAGCCGGGGATCGGCCTGGGTACTTTTCGTCCGGGGCTCCCCAGGGGCCGCCCCGCGCGCGCGAACTAGAAATATTGTTAAGTAGTTACCGGAGATCTTAGCACGCCTCTGGCCCGTTGGGCCGGCGAATTTGTGTGTATTTATTTGTGTGTCCCAGGGCCCCTCCAGTACCCTGAAGTTCGGGGGCGGCAAAGAGGGGGGTGAGGACCAGGGGGGGGTAACTAAATATCATGGTGGGGGCCATGATATCTCCCCAGGTGTCATGGCGCCTCTTCTTGTTTCACTGCGTCCCCGGCCCCCCCACTGAGCCGCGCATATGCCGCCGGCCATGATTTGCGCCCCCCCCTCTTGGCCGCCCCCGATAAGTGCAAGCACTGATTGGGGAATTTGATTTGCAAGCTGACGCTTTGGCTCGCAGCTGGTGGCTTTGATCACTGGTTATAGCATCCCTCCCCACAGACAGAGGGCGACGTCCTTTCCAGCTCCTTCCTCTTCTCCTCCCTCCTCTTTTCCTTCTCCTTCCCTCTCGCTTCCATCTTTCCATCTTCGCCCTCCCCAACTTCCCTCTCCGCCCCTGCCCGTCTCCCCGCAGCGTTATCCTTCACCGTTCCCTCCGTCCTTCCTGCTGCCCCACCCCCCCTCCTCCCGCTTGTCGGGCCGGGCGAAAGGGGGGGATTGGGAAAGGGGGGGTTACGAAATCTGCTGCATGCAGCTGGTTTCGGCCCCACCGAGGGGCCCATTCCTCGATACATGGCCGCCTCCAGGCGCCGGGAGGCGCCAGGAAAATCAGCTACGTGAGCTGATTCTCAACCCCCCCCTTTGCTATCCCCCCCCTTCGCCTGACCCGAGCTTGTCGTCCTGAGAGAGACAAGAAACTACCTGAACTGGAGCTCGCTACTCGTTGTCCGCGGTCGCGCCCGTGGCCGGCCCCGCCCCCCCCCCCCGCCCCCCCTGGCCACGTCACGATTCGCAAGGCCGCAGACTCGGGAATCTGCCAGCTCCCAAGCATTCTCAGACGGCGCCAAGCGCGAGTCGTGACGGGACCGGCGCCCCTCCCCCCTCTTCCCTCCCCCCTCTGGGCACGCCCGGGATCGTCAGGGAATACAAGAGCGCTCTCGAGGGAGGGAAACTGGGAGGGAGGGAGGGACGGGGGAGAGAACGGGAGGAGGAGTCCACCCTTCGGAAGAGCCGAGGGGATACAAAGAGACAGTCTCCTGCTGACATCGTCCCCTCGAATCGAGATACATCGCTCCAGAGCGTTCTGGAACGCTCTCAGAGATCTCAGAGCGTTCTGGAACGCTCCGCAACAGCCGCGGCGCCCGATACACCCTCCGAGCCCGCCGATTCTCAGAGATTCTCGATTTGTATCGGTCTGCGTATGTGTCGATTCTGCCTTCGCCTCCCTCTGGGGCCTCGCTCGCGCGCTCCAGCGCTCGTACTGGGAAGGCCGAGGGGGTGGTCAGGGGCAACGATAGGGTTAAGTCGGGCCTGTCCCTCTACAGGAGGAATATTCAGAAATAGTCAAAATATAGTCTGGGGACGATTTTTTGAGCATGTTTGAGCCATTTGGGTGCATTTTTTTACCATGTTTCATTTTGCGCCCAAAATCCCCCTGTAGGGGGACACGCCCGACTTAGGGGGGGATAGCCACAGGAGGGGATGCATCGACCCCCACTCGCCCATGGATCGCTGGTGGGGGCCCGAGGGCCCCGTCGCGCTCAGGAGCGTGCGCAGCTGCTCTCGGCAGCCTATCGCCGATGCGTCGGCGATGTGTCGCCGGCTCCAGGTCGATGTCCCCCCCTGTGCTTTTCCCCCCTCAGCGGATCGCTTCGAGACGGTCCAAGGTGGTGCCGAAGCGACCCAGGAGGCGAGAGGGAGGAGGGGAGGAGGAGGAGGAGGAGGCGAGGAGGAGAGGAGGGATGAGGAGAGGAGGAGGAGGAGGAGGAGGAAGAGGAGGAGGAGGAGGAGTTGGGAGGAGGAGGAAGTAGGATGAGGAGGAGGAATGTAGAGTGAGGATGAGGATTTGGAGGAGGGAGGAGTAGGAGGATTAGTATTATGCTGTGATTTATCGAGGATGATGATTTTTTTTTGAGGGTTGGGTAGGATTCATTAGCGGATGATGATTGGGAAGGATAGTAGGAGGATGAGTAGGATAGGAATATGAGGAGGTATTAAGACGGAAGTGAGGATTAGGATGATAGGAGGATGAGGAGGAAGGATTATAATTTCTATTTGAATGGTAGTAATTATAAGGAGAGGTAGGAGGAGGAGGTGATAGAGGTCTTCGGGTGTGAGCGGGCAGTATCTGTGTGTATAGTATGGACTGTATGCTTGTTTGGAGGAAGAGGTAGGGAGGAGGATTGAGGAGGAGGAGGAGGAGGTAGGAGGAGGAGGATGAGGTGAGGGAGAAGAGGAGGGTAGGGAAGGAGGAGGAGGAGGAGGAGGAAAGGGGGGGGGGGGGAGGAGGAGGAGAAGGAGGCGGAGGGAGAGGAGGAGGAGGAGGAGGAGGAGGAGGGAAGGGAGGAGGTAAGGGAGGAGGGAAAGGGAGGAGGGAAGGGAGGAAAGGAAGGGAGGAGGGGAGGGGAGGGGGAGGGGGGAGGGGGCGGGGGGGAGGGGCGGGATGGGAGGGGAGGGCGAGGGGAGGGGAAGGGGAAAGGAGGGGAGGGAGGGAGGGAGGGAGGGAGGGAGAGAGGAGGGAGGGAGGAGGAGGAGGAGGAGGAGGAGGAAGAGGAGGAGGAGGAGAAAGAGGAGGAGAAAGAGGAGGAGGAGGAGGAGGAGGCGGAGGACCCCCCTGTGCCAGTCCCCCCCTCCATCGTCGCCGCTCAGCGGGCGGGGCGGGGGGGTCGTCGCGCGGGCGGGCGCCAGGCCTGGGGCGAGGGGCGCGCACGGGAGGCGAGGGGGGGGAGCTGCGGGAGGGGCGCGGGGGGCAGCGGGGGCGGGGAGGCCGCGAGCACGCGCGCGGGCCGGGCCCGGCCGCCGCACGCTTCGGGGGGCCTCGATCGGCCGCGCGCAGGGGGGGGGCGTAGGCGTTGAGTCTGGCACGTCCCTCTGCAGGAGTCTTCAGAAAATACAGTCGGGGCGTTGACCTAAGGAACCCTAAATAAGGAACGAGGCCCCTATTTTCCATAAGTTAAACTTCGATTTCCCATCCAAAACATAAGGAAAACCTGAGGCAAGCTGTGAAACACTTAAGGAACGCGGAGCCCCTCCCCAACGAAAAGGGTTCCTTCTTCAGGGCCCCGACTGTAGTCAGCACAGAAACGTTATGGGGGCGATTTTGCTTTTGTACCATGTGTGACTATTTCCGTTGTATTCTTGAGTCTTCATTTTTTTGTCCGCCCAACATCTGCCTGCAGGAGGACACGCCCGTCCTGAGGGTAGCGCTTGTCCATGGACTCTTCCACGGCGCGAGGGCGTCTGGGGTTGAGGGGCGTCCGCGCTGCGGCGCTGCCGCGCCTGCACGGACCCACCATTCGGCCACGGGGTAGGGGGGAGGGGGGAAGGCTTCTCAGAAGCACCCCTGCCTCTTAGAAGACGCGGGCCTTACCTGTAGAGGCAGGGCCGGCGCCTTCTAATAAGCAGCCTCCTTCTAGGAAGCCTTCCCCCCTCCCCCTCCCTCCCCGTGTGTGCGGCGCCAGAAGTATGCGGGCTGGGCCTGGATGTGCTGCATGGTTTTGGGAAGTCAGTGCAAAGAGGTGTCAACCACAGCGCCGGATCTTGCAGGATGCTACAAAGTTAGGGCTGCGTTGTCCCAGGCTGGCGTGCAGGATCCTGCAGGATCTTGCAGGCTCTTGCACGATCCTGCAAAGCGGCTTGCTGGCACCCATGAGTGCGGGGTACGTGCTTCAATCGGTCGTGGCTGCAGTCGTTCGTACCGGCTATCTTACCGACGAGGTCGTGAGGTCGTCCCTGGGGTGCACGCGGGGTTTCCCCTACCCCGGTATGGTCTCCAAGTCGGTTTGCCGCCCGTATTGTGCAGCCTACATGCAGCGCGTGGAGTCTAGCATGGTCGCCGTCCTCTTCCTTCTCCTCGTGTCGCTGGAGATGGTCAGAGAGCGGAGTAGTATGGATTTGTAAGACTTGGTCTTACGGCATTCCCATTCCCATTCCCCGGTTTGCCTGGACCCAGGTCAGGAGAAGCCCGATGTTCTGGGCTCCCCGCAGCAGTTCTTTCGCCGGGCCGCGCCAAACTTGACAAGGGGTAGTGAAGGGTCGTTTTCACCGACTCTGACGCGTAAGATTCCCGCGCAAGGTCGCGCGTAGGCGCCCTCGTTTCCAGAGTGTGGCGTTCCGCGCTGGCGGCCAGCGTAAGCCACCGCGCACGGTCGCTGTGTCATCTCGCGCAGGGCCCGCGTCTCGTGTGCTGCTCGTGTGCGGGCCAGGCCTGGCTGCGCTGCATGCCTTCTGGGCTCCCGGCAGTAATTACCTCTGGCGTCGGGCCCCCGCGACTCGAGGCAGGGCAGCGCGCAGCCCCCGAGAAAAACCACCCGCTCGCGTCTCGTTCCCGGGCCCCCGCGCTCTGCGCTCGTCGCTGCGGCCTGCTCCCCCTGCGGCAGACACGCCGCCTCGCCGACCGGGGGCTCCCTGGGGGCCGCCGTGGGCACCCGTGGTCGGGGCACGGGGTCGGGGCAGGGGCTCCCGTCGCGGGCTTTTTCCTTCTACGGGCCCGTGCGAGCGCGACGTGCGCCCCGCTCTGCCCCTCCTCTCCGCAGTGATCCCCAGCCCTCGGGGTGCCCGGCCTCCCCTGGGACGGGTGGGAGGAGCCAGCGTGCAATCATTTGGACGCCCGAAATGGGTACCGAAAGAATGGGTACAATGCCCAACAACAAATGTTGTCCCAAACCAACAGCAGCCGCTCTTTGGCAGGCGGCCTTCTGTCTCGAATGGACACAGGCCGCGGCGGCGCGGACAGCGAGTCCTGTTCAAAATGAACAGGAGCTGCTGTTGGGCATCGTTCATCGTACCCATTCTTTCAGTACCCATTTCGGGCGTGCAGAAATCAGGGGGATCGGCTGCACGCAAGCGTGGCCTTTCGCCGGGGTGACCTCCGGTGCGGGCCCCACGGGGTCCCCCGGTCGCGGGAGCGCGGAGCGGAGGCAGCGGCCGGCGCGGCCGGGTGGGGCCACCGCGCGAGCTCTCGCACGCCGCGCGCCGAACGTGAAGGCGTCAATGGACGATGGGGCGAACACGGCGAGACCACCTACAGTCGAGGCGCTGAAGAAGGAACCCTTTTCGTTGGGGAGGGGCTCGGTGTTCCTTGATTGTTTCACAGCTTGCCTCAGGTTTTTCTTATGTTTTCGATGGGACATCGAAGTTTAACTCGTGGAAAAACAAGGGGCATCGTTCCTTGTTTAGGGTTCCTCAGGTCAACGCCCCGACTGTATAGGCATTTGGGGCGATTTTGCACGATCTTGGAAGCCGGCCTGGGGCGTGTAGATCCCTCTTGCAGCGAAGGCCACGCTCGAACCCTTCGGGACTGGACGGGTCCAGACCCCTGGAGAAGAGGTGATCAAGGGCGTAAAGCCCTCCCCGAAGGAGAGAAGGGAGGATCTCGGAATGGCTGCTGCGCTGAAGCACCTACATCCAGAAGGCTGTTGGTATTCCAAGCGATCCGCACGCACGTTTCAAGTAAATGGTCCGAGGCTGCATGGCTCGAAGGATCTCTCGCAGCAGCAGGATGATGATATAATGACGAGCATGATGAGAAGGAGCAGGAGCGAGGAGCATAAGCGGGAGTGACGAGCAGGAACGAGGAGAAGGAGTGAAGAGGAGCGGGAAGGAGGGAAGAGGAGGAGGAAGAGGTGGCATACTTCGCGCCCTCACGGGCTGCTTTACTTTTCGCCGTCTCATTGTTCTTCTTAGTACCGCTTGTGGTACGGAGTCGGGCAATGTGTGGCCACCTGGCCCGAGTCGGTTCACTCATTCATGTTTTACGATCCTTGCGAGCCCCGAGTTCGAAGTCCGACCAACGTCAAAACCGCAGAGGATTGAATGTGGTGTTGCCCAGAGGTGGACGCCCTGAAGCTGAACAGTGACTCCGTCAACGAGCCTCTGGGGGTGCCCGCCCCGAATCTGGGGGGGGGCACCAGGGGGAGGGGGGCAGTTGGCCAGCGGGGCGTCGCTTAGAGGTCGCAGTGTCTCTCGTTATCCACTCCCTCCCTCCCTCTTCTCCCTTCCCCTCTCCCCTCCCATTGCCCCTCCCCTCCTCATCCTCCGAGCGAACCAACGAATGAACAAACGAACGAACGAACGAAGAGCGGGTAGGCCGCAATCTCGCACGGCGGCCACGACGACTTCAGTGGGAGCCCTCGGCAACGGGTACGCTGCCTTCGGCGGCTTCAGCCTCCACGTGCGCGACTACGTCGCGGCCCTTCCCTGGAGGGAACAGCCGCTTGTACCTCCAGAGCTGAGCGGAGGTGGCCTACGTGCCCCTTGAGACGCTGAAGGTACCGAGGTGTATGGGGGTGGCCCATTCATGGGAGGCGAAGACCATGGCGTAGTGGAGAGTCGCGGACTACCATCACAGTGCACATGGTTCGGAGCTGAAGCTGGATCGGGCCGACTCGGGCGGTCAAGGACACGGCGTAGTGGAGAGTCGCGGGGACGACCATCGCAGCGCACGTGCTTCGGAGCTGCCGCTGGTCCGTGAGGCTTGTGGGCGTCTTGGAGAAGAGGAACCGCAGGCATCTACAGAGCTGCGCGAAGGTGATCTACTGAGCCGGGGACGCCGAAGGCACCGAAGTGCAAGGGGGGGCGCATCTGGCAGGGACGGGCAGTTCGCGACCGAGCCAGGGATCTATACGGAACCGTAGATTATCAGCTCAAGATGATGTGGCTGAATGTCCGAGCGTGAGGCCCCCCTCGCCGCGCAGCGAGGCCCGTGGGCGCCTCGCGGCCCCCCCGCTGGGCACGACTATGGACGGGGACTGCGACCCGCCGTTCGGGGAGAACGACAATATAGGCGACGGCGTGACCTCGCTGACGGAGACCGCACCATCGTCAGGATCGGCCTTCGCAATAGCGGCTCCGAGGTTCGACGACGAGGCACCTCCCTCGAGGGGAAAGGCCGCCTGCATCTCCAGAGCAGCGCGGAGGTGATCCACGTGTCCCCGGAAATGCTGGAGGCACCGAGGTGCAGGCAAGTGCGCAGATGGCAGGGACTGGCAGTTCGCGACCGAGTCCGGGATTTCTATGGAATGGTAGATTGTCAATTCATGATGCCGTGGCGGAATGTCCGAGCGCGAGGCCCCCATCGCCGCGCAGCGGCGCCAGCGGGTGCCAGCGGCACCCGCGGGACACCATCATGGACGGGGAGCGCGACCCGTTCGATAATATCGCGGAGGGCGAGTACAGTACAGTAGGGACGAGGAGGAGCAGCAGTTGGTGCAGCCGCTGGTGCGCGCACAGCCTCACAAGCTGTCGCGTCGGAGCCTCCAGGTGGTGGTCCATCTGCGCAAGCGGATGGCTGCCCTGATGATGGGTCTCTGGCGGGGCCCGCGCCTCGATGTGCTACGGCTGCGACGGCCGCTGAGAGGTCTGGCCGCA